ACCCACAAACAAGAAAAAAAACGACCTAAAAAGTTCATTTAGCTTTAAATAAATAAAAAAAGAAATTGAAGCTTATAATGGAAACCCTAATGCAACAAACCATAGAAACTTTCTTCTTTTTTTTTTGTTCTGTTAACGACACTGCATACTCTGGAGCAGAACAAAAATTAGAGATAAAATATTAAGTATTCCGACGCCCGAATCCAATATCAAACGCGCAATATACTCCGTACAAAACAAACAAAAGATGGGATAAGAAAAAAAAATCGAGTGAAGCAGACGACGACGGTCACGGGCAGCAGACGACATGCGGTCAAATCCCGCCGCCGCCGCCGCCGCGGTTATCGGGTTGAAGAGCGCGAAGAGACACGCGGTCGGAATCCTAAGCAGCCTATCTTATTTTTAAAAGGCTTATCTTTTATCGGGTTTATTTATGTACACCGAGAGGCCGCCGAGATACCGCACACACAACCACACAGATGCACACAGACAAGGAAAAATAAACACACACACACACATGCGGATTGCCCTTACCCGGAGCAAACTCCTTCAAAACTCTTTCTCCGGGTCGCAAAAAAAAAAAATAAAAAAAAAAATAACACGAATAATGTAATACACTTCGCTCGCTCCGCCGGCCAGAAAGGGAGGAAAAGTGAAACCAGGCCTAAATCAGCTTTGCGTTGCCAAAAACACGCCATAAAGTTTCTTCCTCGGTTTTCTTTCAGACAAGTGAAAACGCCCAAGCACACACACACACGCACAAAAAAATATATAAAATAAAGGTTTTCCTCGTCTTCAGCAAAAACTAAACATCCCACCTTTGGCATTCCCTATCGTGTATTCTTTTTTTTTTTTTTTCGCTTATGCACAAGCGTCGTTGTTTACGCACCATTTCTTTTTTTTTTTTTTTTCCTCTATTTCTGCTTTTGCATTTACATTCGTTCAAAGTGTGAGCGCGCCGGTTCCTCTTCTTTTTTTCGGTTTCGATTTTTTGTTTTCCCGAGAGTCTAGTCTGGGTCGAGGGCAAATTCCAGCAGAAACGTCATACTCTATCACACGGGAGAAAGCGGGTTGCAACAAAAAGGCAAATCAAATAGAGGGAAGGCGGGGAAAGGAGGAAAACGACTTCCGGGAGAACCTTGACCCTTTTCGTCATCCTCTACCTCTCGTGGCTAAAAAAATGCTAAGCTCATCTTTCTCCCTCCTTTTTATTTTTTTTTTTCTTCCTTACGTTACACGCGAGTACGGAATACCGGAAGTGAAAGAGAACACGAACCGGAAATATGTCGAGAGAAAAAAAAAACTGCAAAACGAACCAGTGTGTACAGTCTACCCCGTCCCGCGGCGTCAAGCAAAACCGCGGGAAAAGGTGCCTCAGCCGGAAAGTGTGAAACTGAGTAGCTTTAGTACGATTCGTGAGTCTGATTGATTGAGTTTGATTAAACTCATAGAATGAGTGAAAACTGTAAAATTTCCGGTTGTTAGTCCCCTGCCGCGTCCCACACGCAAGCCTTCTTGGCTTACTTACGTAGGTACAGAGAAAAATGTATTAAAAAAAAAAGAAAATAAATTGTATTGTACTGTCCGGCGCTATCAAAGACAAAGAGGCGAAAGCTTAGCTCCGTAAAATTCATTGTTTAGGAGAGAGCTGGGAAGGTATCCCATTTGGCGACGAGACGCACTCGATCTGGCACTCAGTGTTGCTGAAGTTATTGGATAAGGCAAAGAAGCAATTGCGGGACGTTCGCGCTCACGTTGTCCGCAGCGGTACCCAGGTATTTCCCCAGGAGTTGACATTAGGGAGTTTTCGTAGACCGCGCTGCCCCCTCCGCTAAGCGTTCCGCAACGAAGAAGTTGCTACTGCGCCTGCGCGCCGATAGCCTTGACTGTGGAGTTCCCGCTATCGTAGCGGGTTGCGGAGGGCCTTGCCGGACGGCGAAAACGATCTACGAAAACTCCCTATTAAGAGGGAAGGGGGGGGGGGGGGGGGGAGGAAGGGGTGCGTAGGGAAATCACTGGCGGTACCTTCTCGAGCAACAAAACAGGTTGTGCCCCACGTGTCCCCACGACGCCACGCCAAACTCTCGAGATTTATTATGTTAAACAGAGGGACCTTAACGTGCACGACACGCAGGTAGAAACGTAAATGACGCTACCGTAGTGTTTCCCACCGTGGAAGAGAGAGGCGTCGTAACAAAACCAGAAAGGGGGACGAAATTCCACTCGGGCTTCGAGCATCCCCCGACGGGGCGCTGTCGGGTTGGTGGGGCTAGAGTTCCTGTATACACCAACTCATGTTTACAAACAAACCGGAGCGCCCCTAGCGGACGTCACCGGCGCCGCGCATGCGCCGTGGATGGTGGGCAAGAAGCCCGCCGTCGCCCATAAACAAACCATTGAATTGCGTTGTTGTCGGCGTCGGTGGGAGTCCCCGTGCTCTTTTTCGCGTTAAAATTGTTGATTCTACGTCCTCCCAACAATGTCTGACTACTTCAGCGGCTTCAGCAAAACTATCGAGGCAAAACTTTGCGTGAATAATGTGACGTGCGGCGATTCATTTCACGTGGACGCCGCAGAATGGGCGCTAAAGCCTGACTCCCACGTCGAGATTCTGCTCGCTATTTTCAGTCGCGACGTCGCTCGGACTGCAAAAGCGTGGACCGTAGCTGAGATGGTGGACATCGATACTGAAAACCTCAAGTAGAATCGGGCATTACAAGTCGGCGATGGCCACTGGTAACAATGATCAACAACTTCTTGTATCTGTTTACACTTAGCCGACTTACCCCAACCAACCTTCAAAAGTGTTTTGACGCCTGCACTTAGTTCTTATCGCAATTACCGGGTCAACGTTTGGTTTACGAGCCGCTGTCGTTTGAACGAACTGACGACAAAAAGCAGCCAAGTTTGAAAGAGCAGACGAAAGTTCGAACGCACGCGCAATGGAGTACGGACAAGAAGCACCGCGTCCCGCGTCAACAAACCATTTGAATGTCACGTTGTCGGCGTCTGTGTGAGTCTGCATACTCTTTTTCGCGTTGGAGTTGTCGATTCTACGTCCTCATCGCAATGTCTTACTTTTACCCCTTCAATCGCCTGAGCGAAATTATCAAGGCTCGTTACGCCGCTAAACTTTCCGTAAATAATTTGACGTGCGGTGATTCATTCGCATGAACGCTGCAGAATGGACGCCAAAACTATGATGAGATTCTTGTAGCTATTTTCGGTCGCGACGTCGCTCGTGCTGCAAAAGTGTAAAAGGTAGCGGCGATGATCGACGTCGATACTGAAAATCGGAAGCGGGAACAGACAAAGCGTAACAAGTAGGTGATGGCCACCGGTACCAATAAATAACATCTTGTATCTACTGTTTACAACGAGCCTACTTAAGTATTTTGAGGCCTGCAATTACTTCTTATTGCAATCACCGGGTCAAAGTTTGGTCTACGGGCCGCTTTTGTTTGAACGAGCAGACGACAAAAAGCAGACAACTTTGAAAGAGCAGACGAAAGTTCGAACGATCAGGCGGCCGTGTGAATTTGAAGACGCACTGAATCCGTGGGTGGTCCGGACAACTTGGGGGTTTTCTCTCGGTCATGTTGGAACAAAGCAAATACATCTGGCGACTACAAATTGTGGCCCGCACACGCAATCGTAGTTCGACAGCGTCAGGTTTGCCCTTTTCACGGCCGCTATCCACGTTCTCGGACGAACGGAGGGTGCAAAAACACATGAAAACTGATCTTCAAACCTTCCAAGACTCTCTTGGTAAAGCCCCCATCGCAGCATTTTGACAAGAAGGCAGGTTTTTTGTCTCGTTTCTTCCAAAGGAACACAGGAATGCATGTCTGGCACGGCGACTTCTGCCCACCGCCCCAGACCGGAAGTGCGTCCGGCGCGCCACCACCGCGGCGTGACGTAGGAGAGTTGAGTTGGTGTATAGGCTCCCTACGGGAGCCAGAGTTGCGCATTTGTTTTCCCCGCGCCGCCACGCCGCTATTCGCCGAGATCCATCACGTGAGGAGCAAAGCATCCGTTGGCGTGCAAGAAAGCCACCTTTACGGTCGCTCCGCCGACGTTTCTCTTGCCCCGGCGTATGTTTCCCTGCTTTCCGCCTCCTTTTCCTCCTCTCCTCTTTTCCATGCGCGGCGGCGCGCGCGGCGCCGCTATTCGCCAAATTTAGTCACGTGAGGAGCAAAGCATCCAGCTCGTGCGGGAAAGCCGGCGCTACGGCCACGCGCCGAGGTTGAATGCGCAACTCTGCTACCGTAGGTAGCTATACAGGAACTCTAGGTGGGGCTCGGCGCGGTCGCGCGGCCTCGAAAACGCGTGGCCAAATAAGGACGGTTCCTCGAGCTCCTGACCGGCTGCGCCGTCTCACGGTGTTTCTCATAAAGGGGAGCGATCCTTCGACACACTCGCTCCGTGGAGAGGCGGTGCTGTTCCCGTACATCGCTTCTGGCACCGTGGTCGTTCCCGACATAAGAACTGCACGAGAGACACTCCCCCGAATTCCCAGGGAGAAAGGCGTCACTTGGCCATTGAGCAACGACGAGCCATTTCTCTGACGTCAAGGCAGGGAAGGAGCCTAGGCCCTCGTCTTTCTTTCCTCGAAGATTGGCACCCAGAAAAAACGAAGCATAATGCTCGATGTGCCTAATTAAGACCCAACGCACACTGGACATTAACCTAACAACTGTTTGGGCGGTTTTTTTTTTTTTGTTTCTTTAGTTTTTGCATTACAGCAGAGTGCAGTTGTGCCTCTTCTATGCTGACTGGAACGCGTCGTCTGTTGGGCGATACCGCCAACGGATTAAAAGCGGTTCCGAAGTGGCAATGAATGATGTCACAAAAGCCGGCGTGCCACGTTGTCGGACGTCGCGATCCTGGCGGTTGGTTGTAGAAGTACCAAGGATTACGAAATGAGGGGAAGAAAAAAAAAGGGGGGGGGGAGGGTGGAGAAGAAAGGGCGCACTTAGTGCCTAAGAACACTCACTCACTTTCGGTTTGAGCGCGCTGGAGGGTCAAGATGGATTAATCCGTGGTCTCATGGGACGATCTTCGAGATGTACTCCTGCACACAACAAAGAGAAGGCGGCGATGTAGACGAGACGCCATAAACAACAAAACACGCAAGCACACACACACACGCGTAACAACCAAAGCTCTGTTTCTCTCTCTCTCTCTCTCTCTCTCGCACACACACACGCACAAATGGCACAAAATATCACTGCACCCCCGCGGGGAAGTATATGGGGTCGGAACATGGACGACCGTGCGGCGGTGTTTGCCGTCGCTACTCTGGCATTCCCTGGGACCGGCGTCGTTGTCTCATCCTCGGCAAAACAAAGAAAAAAAGAAAATTTGGTTTTAACGACGGTTTGCTTACCAAGGGGTAGGCGTATGGGTTACGCGGTTTAGGCGAACGTTACGCGTTTACCACACGCTGCGGTAAGAGAAAAGGTCTCGCATTTTCGACTCCCTCGACCGCAGCTGCATAGTGCCCTCGCTCATTTACGCACGGTCAGCGCAGGACTGGGTGCGACGAGCAGTTTCAAAGGGCGCGTTCGGTTTTCTTTTAATTGCTCGGGCCTCGAAATGTTCGCGTGAACTTAATACCAGCCTACACAAAAATAGAACTTCGTGGCATTTCGACGCTTGTTTCCGTCATTTTGTAAGTTATAATACCCCCATTGCTTTGACGTTTCGAGGTTCATCGCAGAACCGTCCTGATTGGATAGAAGAGTCGGCTTCCCATAGGCTACCAAGTGCTGCTCGGTACTCGTTCGGGACTCGTCGAACCTATCCAGTCAGCAGGCTCCGTCACACCGAAACGAACCACTCCGGCCTCCGGCACGTGACGTAGACAAGCCGGCAGTACGGCCTTGGTACGTGCCAGGTGTGACACGGCGGCTGCCGCGTGGCTCTACACTGACGTCACACGAGCGGCCGTTGTGCTGGCCTCGCTCGCACATTTGGCACCACCAATTTCTACGTTTTTTTTTTCTTTGCAACAACAAGTAGGACTGACCCAGACTGGCCAGGCAGCACGTAGCCATGACGTCAACTGCGAGCCATGCATACACCTCACGCACTCCATAACGACCCCCGATTCTACAAAAAACAACTTTCGTCCTCCGGAAAAAAAAAAAAAAAAAAAGAGAAAGGGCCCGTTTTGTGGCTTATTTCGGGGAACAATGTCTCCAAACTGGCAAACAACCCTGACGCAACGTGGCGGCTCGCGCTCGGTACGTCCTAGCGGAGGGCAAGAGCGGAGGGGGCAAACGGGAAGGGAGAGGGGGCCACCCCTGGCTCGGACCCGGGGTTGTGACGTTCCTATTCCGGGCTCAGGCAGGCCCGGTGCCACACCAGCGAGCGACGACGGCAGAGGCAGCAGACGACTTTCCCAGAATCGCGGTCGGTCTCACGCACGCGGAGCGGGGACTCCACCCTTGGGCGGCCGGGTCGGCACGCGAGCTCCGGACCAGACCATTGGACGACAACAAAGAAACAACAAAGGCAACGACGTGCGGGCTGCTACGCCGCGGTCACGCCGACATCATGCCGTCAGTGCAGACTGAAGTCTTCCTTGTCTGACGGTCACATTGGCCACGGACAAACTGTTGGCAGACATGTTCGAAGCCAACATGCTTGCAATGTGCTTGACCCGAGTCCCATAGATGATTCTGTCATCACCATTTCCTCGGCTTTTGTGCGATGTAACAGCATGTGCCTGCGGCTTTACCAATCAGGCGCGCGCGAAATGGCGGGACGGCCAAGTTATCGAATAGTGACGACCCGCGCGGCCAAAAGCGTCTCTGTGGTCGCCCTTCGCGATGGGCCAAACGTTCCCTACGACGTCTAGGTTTCGATGATTTTGACCATCATCGACGGAACACAAGGTTTAGACTGTCCCCTTTGACGGTGTTGGTTTCCGACTGCGACGATTCTGAGCTTCCATCGTGCTTTTTTTTTTTTTTTTTTTTTTTTTACACGCATTTTTTAAAAGTGGTTGACAAGACGAGAACGACCAGAGAGGTCCTTCAGTTTTCCCGCCTCAAGAGCCAGCGTCCCACTTTTGGATAACGGCGTCTCATGAGCCTCGAGTGGGCACTCGCGGCCAAAGCACGACGGAAGGCAAGGAGAGCGTGCTGGAAGTCCCGGAAGAAACTCCGTGCCATTTTTCATCCGATCAGTGATTATTGCTTCGAGAGATATAGACATCCAAAATTTCTCGCTCCGAGAGTCCGTTGCAAACGGATTTGAGATTGTGAGGCCGCTCTAGATACACGAACCTGCCGACCGCGGTGGTCGAGCTGGAATGATCGATAAATATAAGGACACGATGGAAATACCGAGAGGTTCGCACGAAGCTTACTATATTCGGTACGTTATGCATGTTCGAGTCAGCAATTTGTTGGAAAACGACGCTTTTTCAACACCGGCGCCAAGCAGTCGCGGAGTTGCCGTATTCACGTGTGTAATGAAAAACAGACGCGAGAAAGAAAAAGAAAAACACGAACAGCGCTTAGTTTAACGTCTGTTGATGAACCCTGCCCTGCCCTCCGCGTCCTCCTGCGCAGTCTGTGCCCGTCATCAGTCACTCGGAACTCTTCGACTACGCCGGAAATGTGACGTGAGCAACGAGGCTGGTCGCTGCAGGGCAAAAGGATCATCCTTTCAATAGAACGCCATCCGTCAATAGCTTCTTCTCTGCCGCTATATTTTACTTTCCAGGGCCTGGCGGTGGTAGCTTTCCTTGGCCGAGGGAATCGTTCGATACACGACGTAGAGCCTTGTCAAAGCCGTTGGCGTTTGACCCGCACTGCGCTCCCTCGCAAACGACACGCAGTATAGAAAAAGCCGACCAGTCGCACCGGCAGCTTTGACAGTGTTGCGCACTATGCGTAAAACCAAGTATTAACCCCCCCCCCCCCCCCCCCCCCCCACGCTGTCTGCGCATGCGTCGGACGCAACGCCACAGCCCTGGCTTGACGTCAGAGACGCGCGTTGGTTCGCCGCTGCGAGGCAAGTGACGCCACCCGGCGGAGAATACGCGAGTTAGCGCAACTCGAGAGCACCGGAGTGATCGACGTGCGCGGCGAACAACGGAGCGTCCTGGCGGTCGAAACGCGAAACAACGGAACGGCAGGTGCGCGTAAACCTGACAAATTATGACGGCGTTTGTCGTGGCTAGACCGACGAACGACAAACACGCGTCGCAGACGTATTAACTTTTTCGCGGGCCTGAGCGGGCAGAGACTGTTAATACAACAAACTAAGGCGCGTGTTCGTGAACGGGCGTTGGGACGGAAGATGGCTGCTGGTTGTCACCATGTCCGCGAAGAGTGAGTGTCGGCGGGTTTACTACGGTTCATCGAATGCCATTTCATCGAAGCACGTCTTAGAGAATGGGCACGTTTTATCGAAGCACGGTTTGGAGAAAGCAAAGCCTCAGTTTAGAGAAACGCAGTTCATCGAACTGCGTTTCTTTAGATAGTGAACTAGAAATTTTGTGGGTACGCTTGAGTCACCCTTCGTTGCCCATCATTGTTGGCGCCTGCTATCGCCCTCCAGGCCGAGATAGTACTTTTGTTACGAAGCTGCACGCTTGCATGGAGCAAATTTTTTCTTTATTTCCCAGTAGTACTGTTATTTTTGGCGGCGATTTTAATTACCCCGGGGTCAACTGGAAAGAGGAAGAAATAAACTCTTGGGTGGCCCATTCAGAAGTGTCCAGTTTTGTTGACTTGATGAATAGCTACGGTTTAACTCAAACTGTATTGGAACCCACAAGAAATAATTCTGTTTTGGATCTTGTTTTTACCTCGAGTGCAGAAAATGTAAAATCGGTTCGTATTCTTGAGAAAATCAGCGACCATAACACAGTCCTAGTAGAAATGTCTCTGCCAGTAATAGGTAAAAAAATAACCCCTAAAACCATAAACGTCTACAGTAGAGTTAATGAAAACGCTCTAAACGAGTCCTTTGAGCTGTTTGCTTCGGAATACGAGCTGCATTTTAGCGAAAGAACAGTCGAGCGCAACTGGGAAATGCTCAAAAATGAATTTAGGCGTATAAAGTCTGATTTTGTGCCTCAGATGGTTTTAAGGACGAGTGCTGATCAACCATGGTTTACAAATATCCTTAGGAAAATAAATAACAAAAAGAAACGTCTTTATGTCAAAGCAAAAATTACAAACCATGCGTCTGACTTCACTAAGTATAATGACTGCTGTAAAGAGTTTAAAAGTAACATCAAGAAGGCAAAGGATAAATATTACAAGCAAGACCTACTTAACTTATTAATAAACAATCCCCAAAAATTTGGGAAAAGTATATGTCCGAGAAAAGATGATTCGCTTCCTAAATTGTGCAACGAACACAACGAAGTGCTAACGAACCTTGAATCAGCTACCGTCTTTAATAACTACTTTGCATCCGTATTTACCTTAGAACAATTACCTGTACCCAGTGATCAAATATGTAAACCAATTAACGTCTACTGTGAACCTATCACTTTTAACCCCTATGGCATTTTGAGTGCGATAGAAAGGCTCTCCCGAAGTTCAGGTCCTGGTGATGACGAAATCTGTCCTAAACTTCTCAAATTAACAAAGAACATATCCTGTCGCCTTTTGTGTCGCTTGTTCCAACAATCGCTCGACTTAACTTCCCTTCCCGCAGACTGGAGATTCGGGAGAGTTTTACCCATTTTTAAGACCGGCAATAAAAACGACTCATCAAATTATAGACCCATATCACTAACTAGTGTGCCTTGCAAGATTATGGAACATGTCATCTACTCCCACATTATGAACTATATGTCAGAACATCAATTAATATGTAATAGTCAGCATGGCTTCAGGAAGGGATATTCATGCGAATCCCAACTTTTTGAGTTCGTTACTGATCTACATAACAACTTCCACTCGTCTCACCCTACTGACGCCATCTTCATTGATTTCTCAAAAGCATTCGACACGGTTCCTCACCAACGTCTCCTATATAAACTTTCAAAACTAAACATTCACCCTTCTATTATCCACTGGATCGCTCAATTCTTAAGTAACC